ATTAGGCATCGTTTCAAGTTGAGCTCGTTTTATTTGTTTGTTTTTAATTCTTTTAAAATTTGAACTTAAAGTCTGGATATCAAGTGATTTGATTTATACAAATTCTTTTTTTTTTTTTTTTTTTTGGATATAACAAAATAGATGATGTAATATGTTTTCCATGTATTCTGTATTTCAAGAATTTTATACCTAGCTACTTAAAACGTCTAATAAATCCCATTAAAACACATCGTGGCACGCCACAGGTTTTGTGTTCATTCCATTTCCACAAACCCAGGTATTTGTGGAAAATAGAATGGACACAAAATCCTTGGCTTGCGATGATGATTTATGCAAAGCATGTTTATTGAAATCAAATGCCAAGAAATCTCAATGGTTAATTGTTTTATTAAAAATACGTTTAAGTTTTTACTATATGTATTAACATGTTTTTTCCCTGTCTAAATCTATGTCAGCACATCCGAAATATATATGTAATATGCGCATACCTTTGCTTTTCTTTCCTCATCCAATTCTGTTTCTGTCTGATTTTGGCTCCAAAAAGCTGAATTCATTCTACAAACAGAAGTACAGAACTCAAAAATTGAGATCATGTTGATTTTAGATTCTTTAAATTTAAAAACTTGCAATAAAAAGGTCAACTGGTTTAAGTTTGTCAAAACACTAAATTACCTTTTCATTTCTTTCCATTATCACCCCCCTCCAAGAAAAAAGGGTAGGGTATAGTTATTCATTTCATCTAACTTAAATGCTTTAAACCTAAGGATGCTTAAAGTTTGAATCAGGTTTAGCTTAAATTAGTTCGGTGGAACTGGAGAAAATATTAGCTGAATGTGAATTTTCTTTAAAAAGTAAACACTGAATGACATCAGCAACAAGTGAAATTTTAAGAATTCATTATTTATTTTTTCTGTGGTATATATACTATATTATAACTACATTATAAAAATTTGTATGATAGCAGTACTTCCAAAGTAATCCCTTCTCCTAAAATATATTAAGTACAGAGTGTACCTCCCCTTTTCATTTTTTTTCGGACGACATAAAAAAAAAGTCCATCCATTTTTCACATATTTAAATGGTAAATAAAAATATATCTACTATAATAAATTTTTATTTACTGTAGATCACTATATTTTCGCGACACCTTATTTACGCGATATAGCTATTCGTTATTTATAAGAAAGACAAAATTTTAGCGAACTGTGGTTACTGTAATCCTTTACATTACAAATATACGCGAGAATAAATTTATTGCGTAATTACTCGAAAATAAAGTAATCGCGAATAAAAAGTGATTTACAGTACCCTACCAATTAATATTAGCTGGGGAGTGACTAAGGTAATACATACCGTGAATACGACATTATGATTAGACTCTATAATTTGGGATACAATGATGTGACTAACCAACTATTTTACATTTCAAAATAACTCTCTTCAATTTTTTTTTACTTATGAAATGCAAAAAACTAATATAATCAATGAGAATTAAATTATTAAAACATGCAAAACCAAACTATATTAAAACACTTGCCTAGTGTTACATATTTTACTGCATGATTAATTTATGCTATACATTCTTCAGCTGTAAAAAAGGGTAAAAAATTTCAATTACTTACCGTAATAAGAACCATTAAGACGCCAAAAGACCGCTCTAAGTTTGTAATTTTCTGCCAGTCTTCTGTGCATGCATTGAAAACAATACAAGCAAAAAATACCGTTTTCACTCCTGTGTTAAAAGAGCTGTACCAAATGGAGATAATTTGAAGTTAAAGTGACAGAAAATTATAGATCTAAATTAGTTTTCCTACATAAATGTTTAAGTTGCCTATGGGTTTTTCCTTTATTCTTTTAGAGCTAACACTGTAAAATACATATTTTATGTTGATAAGCTTTAATGTTGTTGTAGTTTTTACATAAAGTGCTTAAAATTTACTGGATTGTTGAAGCAAAATTAACCTCGAAAAACTAGTATTTATCAAAAGGTAAAGAGAATTTCAATAATCAACAGTGGTTAAATGAGAGTAATATTTTATTGAATAAAAAATAAATTGAAAAGCTTTTTTTTATGACAAGTAATAAAAATGTGTTTACTTAACCATAAATTCTAGTGTTATACTAAAGTACAAAACATGCTATCTGAAAGGGGGGTTTCTATGGCAACAATATTAATACAAAAATTATTTTTTGCTAGTTTTTTTTTTTTATCAAACCCTTTGTTCTTCAAATTTTCACACGAGTTTTAACCAAATTTATTTTTATACCACTTTCCACATTTTTTAACTAAATGCTTGATGCTTGCTGATTTTGATTTTTAAATGTCGTCAATTTCAAGTATTTTTGTAGTTTGTTTTACTTGCATGTGGCTTATGTCGACAAACTATATGGGTCAGTAATTGATCATATGGAAAATGAACGGTCGAGACATTAATTTATTCATCTACTAACAATATAAATATTAAGTATCATTTCAATTTAAATATTTGTCGGAATGGGGTTTTTTTAAATTACAGAATCGAACACGATCAATTGAGAAAAGGGGGGCTATGCATATATTCAACACTTCTCATGGAAAGGTAGATAACACTTCTTTGTGTACATATATTTTCCACCTGATATACGATGTAATTGAAGCAACCGCCTCTGCTTAAATTTTCTGAACAAAATCTGATGGATTAAATGCGAACATTGGACAATTATGACAGATTATTCAAAAATGTTGGCAAAGTGTCGTAAAAATGAAATGACATTTAATTCAAGACAGAATATGTGTGTTCATCAACTTAACGCAAAGAAAGAAGCTATAATAAAAATAATTAAATAATACATGAATAAATTATGGGAACGAAAGACAATTTCTAGATTTAATGCCCTTAAAATCTTTAAAGTGTTTTATTTTACCAAATCCCAGACATCCTTTAAGATGAAATTCCAACAGTTTCTAACCATTTCATACATCGATATGCTAAAGGTGTACCAAAAATAATTTGCATACAGACAAATTTATAATCTTTGAATTATCAATCAACAAATACATTTGAAAAAAAAAAATTACACTACACAACAGCATTTATATTTTGAGATCATATCGGCTTCTAACAAGGTTTACAATATCTTTTTTCAAATGTTGCATATATATTTCACTTTATATTTTAGAATTATATATTCTGACAATCTCTTTGAAAAATTCAGGTTTTTGACAATTACATGTATACATATGATAAAGTCTCTTCTAACAAAGATCCAGTTTCTGGAAATATAGCAGGAAGCGATTGAGAAATCGTGTTGCAAACCGTTTGTCGTCAAAGTTGGGGTCCTGTAGACACAGTGAGTGTTAAATAAGAATAAAGAAACAAAATCAGTATGATTTTAAATAAAAAAAACTTCTTGAATGGTGTCATTGTAATCTTGTCTACGACAAATGAATAATAACATAAATGAGCATTTCTAATATACTTCTGTAATTAAAAAAAAAATATGTCGTACAAGAAACATGAAAATGTTAATGTTCATTTTAGATGCATAATCAAAATTTTAATACTTACCATTGCGTGGATTCTTATGAAAGCAAACATACCGGAACTTATATACCTTTTATGATCTTCTGGCATGGTTTTACGGTCGTAATTGGAGTGTTAAGTAATTAAGTCGACCAAAGTAAGTCAAACGACAAAAATGTCTAATTCTGTACTGTAAATAAACGATATTTTTGTATAACAATAAAAAAATCGAAATTGTTGACGATCACATACAGATTTATCTCCCATCTTCTGTCAACGTTTTTCAGAGGCAATAATTTATAAGAATGTTAAACTTGCAAGATAAATCATGATTAGGACAAAATTTATGGGTTTTGTCATTTTCATTGCATTATATAAAGTATAAAACGTATCTTAACACTGTATAGGTATAAGGTTATAATTGTTAATGATAATGTACTTTTATAATCTTCTTTCGATGTTTTACGGTTTTAACATAATCGTTGACCCTGTATACTTAACTATCAAACATTCTTTTTGAAAAACATGTTCAATTTGGAACAATATGTATTCGTAGATAAAGAAATTAATTTTTATTCCTCATATACGAATGTATGGGTCTCTGTTGGTGTTTTTACGATGTATACACAAAATTTTATCATTGCTCTCTGCTCCACCTTTTCCGAAAACGTCCCTTTTTTCGAACAACGACGATCCTGTCTTAATAGATTCTAACCTCGATTTCTCCGCCATTTCGAAACTTTAGACATTCAAATTTTGCAGGTTTGATGCTAAAACTGTTGTCAACGTCATAATGCGAAAGTCATCCAAATTTTCGTCGAATTTTACAAAATACAAATGAAATGTGTAAAGTGATAAATAACTTTTTAATTAAAACTTTGCCGTGCTCTGGGTCACCATCCCAAGTCTAATAATAAAGTCATAATTGTAATTATACATTTAAATCTGAATAAAATTTTACATTTTATAATTCACATATAGTAAAGGATAATAAATATGCTAATAAAAATACATATAACACAACTTCTATTTATATTTTAGCTTGTCCACGAACTTTACGGACAACCCTCGTACATGTTGATTAATTATTTCCCATAAATTCTCATAATTTATGAACTACGTTTAATCTAAATATGGACTGATTTCATAAGTAAAAATAATATTGAAGTAAATTTTTGGTTCAATTTGCATAATTTTTTTTTATTTGTTTGTGCAATTATTCCGTAAAACTTTAGAATAAACTTACAGTAATTTCCTTCTGAAGTGGTGAAAACAACATCAACATTCGGAGATGTCGGAGTCAGAGAGCTAGTTTCCCAGACAGGCAAGGTCAAGGACGATGTCTCTATCTCAGCGTCAGTTTTATGAAGTGTTCTAATATTAATGGGAAGACACGTCAAGTTTGAAACTGATAGATTGGTGAGACGTGTTCCTTTCAAGACGCCAGGAGAAGCACATTCTGGATCACGGCCTAGGTACAATTCCCTCATTGTTTTCAGAAATCTGACAAAGCCTTTCAAGTCGCAATCACAGAGAAAAGGATTACCATATATATAACTGGAAGAAAGATGAATACATAAATAGATTTACATTTGCTATGTTTTTCTACTTAACCAACTGTGAAATCGATTCGAATGCCATTTTCGTGTATACTCACGCGTAGAAATATGCACGGAGAAACTCGCGCTAAAGTGACGTCACAATGAGCTGAAGAGACGTTAATAAAAATGTAACGATATAGGGCAGCGAATAATTCAAACATTGAGTATACTTTTGTGCTTTTGGACATTTGAAATGTGAATATAAGGAATGTTTTTAAGTTAAGTGTGAATTATTGGTGTGTAAATCACACAGACTTGCACGTAGGCATATTTTTCATGAAGCGCTAGCGCGCTTCATGAAATATGCCTACGTTACAAGTCTGTGTGATATACACACCAATAATTCACACAAAACTTTAAGACATTCCTTAAGTATTATCACGACTACATTTTACATGTATTTCCTTTACTTAATTCATTACCAGTCTGAAATAACAGAATTTAATTAATGATGTAAATTAGGTTTTGATAAAAAGAGGGATATAAATTTTTGGGGCGTAATTGAACTTTTTAAATTTTTTTCTAAACAAACAAATTTTTATTTTAGTACAAAGCGTTTTTAATGAATTTATCAAAATGTGCAAACTTTTCTTTAGTATTTGATTAGGCAAAAACCTCCTTGAAAAGCCATACCCAACCAATTTTGCTCCCCCCCCCCCCCCCCCCCGCCAACACACACAATTTGTCTGTTTTTGGAAATAGGCCTAGATGGCAAAGTTATGCTAAAACATCGTTTGTTACGATAATTTACAATTTGTTCTTGTACTGTACATGTATGTGAACACCTTTTTGAAAATTTCTACATCACATTGGGCTTGCATCACCCTACCAGTACTTGTACTAGTTTTACCATTATCTTTTTTAGATTGCACACAGTGCAGTGTTACATGTATATCAGTAGGAATTAATTCATTTTGTGTTTTAATTGGATTATATTTCATGAAGTTGACAGGACCTATGACAGTCGGTAAGTACAAGTTTAAGTATAGATTGGGGTAAAATGAACCGTAATGCAAATGGTTAGGTTAAAGTTTAAAAAGGATCAAAGATCATCGGATGCCACAATAGACGAATTTCACATTCTGAAGAGTTATCTCCCGTTGTCGACATTACATTCAGTTACATGCAGAGATCTAGGAATTTTTTTCCGGTGGGAGGGGGGGGGGGGGCACACCTCAGTCAAAAAAAATTCCAGCCCAAAATATCCTGAGAAGCAAAAAAAAAAAAAAAAAAAACAACAACAACAACAACAAAACAAAACAAACAAACAAACAAAAACAAAAACAAAAAAACAAAAACAAATAAACAAAACAAAACAAACAAACAAATAAAATAAAAACAATGATAGTGGGGTCCAATTTTTATGGGGGGAGGGTGTCCAAAGTCATTTTTTATTTGTTTCTGTAAATCAGTATATAGTCTTTTTAAATAAAATAGCTCTGCAAATTCCAAGGGGGGGGGGGGGGGCAATCTCCCTAACCGCTCCCTGTCCCTGAAATGACAAATGATCATGTGACTCCAAAATAGTAGAAAACGTTTCCATTTGACTATACATAATCTTGTTTCTTGTGTTGTTATGTTATGTACATCTATGAACCCTTGGAGGTCATCCCCACTCTCTTAATGAACTGGAAATGTTCACAATAAGACTACATCAAATTAAATAAAAGTGCATCAATGATAAGATTGCTCGACATTTCATTCATGAATTTGGGTCAACCCATGTACCCTCCTAGAATAAAATTAGGAATCAAAATCATTCAAAGGGATGGACCATTAAACTATTTGTATATATTCATATTTTTTTTAAATGTCAAAACAAAGTATTAGTTTGCATACATGAACAAGCAGGGGTCTGGGAAGGGGGAGGGGCGAGGGGAAGGAGTTATCTCTCTACGTCTTAATTGTTGAAAACTCCTAAAATGAATGTTAACCTCAAATCCGACTTGTACGTCTTCATTATTTTAAAGTGGTGGTGTCTCCATATGAGTGAAAAATTCCCGAGAGGGACATTTAACAACAAACAAACAAATGACTTAAAAAACACAATATACATGTACATGTTTATTGGTCAACAGATATACTTCTGGTCATATCTCTAGTTCTCCCTTGAATCAGAAATGATGATAAAAATATTTTAAGAATGATTAAGAGTTGAAAAGATTGTGCATCTTAAAATTGACTAAGCTCTGTGGTTGAATTGTCATAAATCTTCTTCTCAAGAACAGCAAAGGCATTATTGTCCCCCTTTTTCGCGAAAGGGACCTAGGGGACATTAAATCTCATTTGTCTGTCAATTAATGATTAAAAGTTGAAAAGGTTGTGCATCTTAAAATTGACTAAGCTCTGTGGTTGAATTAGCTATACCAGTCTGGCTTCTTTTGCTACTCAAAGCAGCTTGATTAACAATTTTTAATCATACTGTTTTCTGAAATGTGCAGTTTTTTTTTTCAACATGGATACAAGTCATACATTTTCAACTTCTGAAAACAATGCATGAAAAAAAAAAAAACTGCTTTCAACTACTGTAACTCTTTCCAAGTACTTGTGATCATAAGTTTTTAGGTCACTTGAGTTTTTCTGGTTTTCTGATCACATTTTGTCTGTCATCCATCTGTCCGTCTGTAAACTTTTCAAATTTTTGTCTTCTTCACTGGAATCACTTGGCCAATTTCAACCAACCTTGCCACGAAGCATCTTCGGGTAAAGGGGATTCAAGATTGTTCAAATGAAGGGTTACACCCTCTTTCAAGGGGGATAATCAAGAATTAGTGAAAATTTTGTATTATCATTTAAAAAAGTCTTATCAAGAACTACTGACTGGGCTCAAAAAGTTGAAACTTTCTTTACATGACTTAGTGTAGATTCGAATTTGTTCAAATTATGACCCACTGGGGTAGGGTGGGGCCACATAAGGGGATCATAAGATTTACATAAAAAATGCAGGGGATTTTTTCCATCATAAATCTTCTTCTCAAGAACAGCAAAGGCATTATTGTCCCCCTTTTTCGCGAAAGGGACCTAGGGGACATTAAATCTCATTTGTCTGTCAGTCTGTCTTTTTGTCAGTCTGTCCGTCTGTCACAATAAATTTAACCATGGTCATAACTTTTGAATAATGATAGGGCTTTAATATTTCACATGTACATTACCTACAAGAACTTTCTAAATATACTATGATTTTTGAACCCATGACCTTTACCTTGAAGTTTGACCTACTTTAAAAAAAATTAACATTATTTTAAATTGATCATTTTTGAAGCAGAAAAAATAGGGCATTCATATTATACCTGTATATTACCTGTGACAAGACCTTTCTAAATATATCATGACTTTTGACTCTGTGACATTGACCTTGAAGTTTAATCTAGTTTTCACAATTGTTATATTTCCTTATAACTTTTGATTGAGAAGAGATAGGACTTTCATATTTGACATGTACATTACCTGTAACAAGATGTTTCCGAGCATGCTATAATTTTTTACCCCTTGAGATTGATGTTTTACCTAATTTTCAAAAATTTTAACTTTGGTGATTATGATTACTTATGAATGACATATGATAGGACGTGCATATTTGAAACAGTGTCATAAATAATGGCATCCCATCCACTAAGACATGGAAAGCAGGTGACCACAATTCTTTGAATTTGCTTGTTAGTCATTTGGATATGGAAACATCTTCATATGGTGTAGATTCAAGTTTTAATGCCCCGCCATGAATATGGCTGAGGCATATAGTGTTTATCATGTCCATCTTCCGTCCTTCCGTCCTTCTGTCTGTCCTTCTGTCGCACTTTGCTTTTAGCTCAGTTCAAAGCTCAGTTTCAAAGATACTATCTAAGATATTTTTATCAAACTTCATATGCTGATAGATATTGATAAGAGCTATGCAATTGCATCAACATTTTTTGACCTTGACCTTTCCATTGACCTTGACCTCACTTTTCTTAAATTAGTGTCTAGATCAGTTTAAATAAACAATTCAAGATATATTTATCAAACTTCATATACTGATACATTTTGCTGAGAGCTATGAATATAAACTTTATGACCTTGACTTTTCCTTTGACCTTGACCTCACTTTTTTAAATTAGTGTTTATCTACATTTTAAATAAACCATTTATGATATTTTTATCAAACTTGATATGCTAATAGTAAATACATACTGATGTAAGCTTTTCAACTGCATCAACATTTTGACCTCAACCTCTCTTTTCTTAAATAAGTGTTAAGCTCAGTTTTAAATAAATCATTCAAGATATTTTTATCAAACCTAATAAGCTGATATGTATTAGTGAGAGCTATTCAACTGCATCAAAAACTTTTCACCTTGCACTTTCCTGTGACCTTGACTCCCTTCTCTTTAATTTGTATTTTGCTAAGTTTTAAAGAAACAATTTAAAATATTCTTATGTAAGCATGCACTTAAACATAATTTGGTGAGAATTTATCAACTATATCCATTTTTTTTTTTTAGATTTTAGTTTCAATTTTAAAGAAACTGTTCAAGATATTCTCATCAAACTTCATGCACTCATACAAATTTTCATGTTGCATTAGTAATATACATTCGGGGGGCATTCATGTCCTACGGACATATTTCTAGTTTTCAAATCATGACCTCCAAGGGTGGGGTCAGGCCACAATAAGGGATCAAAGTTTTATATAGGAATAAATGGAAAAAAAATCTTCAAAATTCTTCTTTTCAAGAACAAGAGCATGATTAATATGGAAACATTCTCAAGAAGTGTAGATTCAAGTTTGTACAAATCATGACCCCATGGGTTAGGGAGGGGCCATTTTTTCCTGCCCCTATTTGCCATCCACTTGGAAATGCAAATTTTGAAACCATTTTACACATCCACAGGACAAAACCAATCATATTCCAAATGATCATGATTTAAGGCTAATGCATAAAATATAAGGTAAGTTCTGGCAACCAGGGTGTTTAA